GCTGTACATATTTACAGTACCTTTTTTGGAATGTATTGCCATTTTAAGAACATATAGAAACTTTCTACAGACTATTCCACTTACAGAATACATACACCTTTTAGAAAAAAAGGCAAATATTTATCTTACATGAGACCATGTATATTAAATTTGCGTACACATTATTATTATTATTTTTTACATTACATTTACTAAAGTGATCGTAAGTGCCATCATATCTCAGTAATGAAAAGAGATTGGTTTTATGCCATCAGGACTGATTTTTTAAATTTTTTTTTTAAATAATTTACAATATGGTTTTATTTGTAAATACTGTGCAATAGATGGAAATATTTTAAAAAAAGAAAAAGAAAAGCACATGATGAAACCAAGTCAGCAAATGAAAAAAACAATTGCAAGAACAGCAGAAAAGGGCTAGATCAAATTGTCCATGATTTTGCATGAAAATTGAAATAATTTTAATGACTTCTGGGTGACCATCTATATTGCTTGTGTGGGTGCTGTCTCTGTGGATTTAAAACAAAAACCAGGTACAAGTGAAAGCTGGCTTCAGGGAAAACCAACTCTGACAGATTTCTTTTGGGTGGCAGTGAAAGGAAAGCGATGGGGAGGTGGCCCGTTGTGCCCAACATCGCTCCGATGGAGCTGCTGGTCATGGACTGGAAGGGTGCTTGGCCGCTGCCTGCAGGTAGGCACCACGCAGCTCTGCCTGTGGTCCAGCGCCGGAGCCTGACAGGAGGGCGGCTGGCGGGACCGACCGGGCGCTCACACCAAACCCCGGCGGCTTTTCGGAGGGCCTGAGCGAGCGCAGGGTTTGGGACCAGCACGTGGCTTTGCCAGGCTGCCCGAGCACTGGAGGAGTGTGACTACATAGGAACGGGGGCTGCAAATACCACCCCATACAGGCAAGTGATGAAATACGTTTCCCAGTCATCAGCTGTAAAGTCACAGCTACTCCATCATTACTTTTAAGAGTTTCCTGCTGCAGTTCCTGGGTATCCAGCCAACAACCTGTGAATAATTAGAGCTGACAGAGATCTGCTTCGAGGCATGGGGTCATTTTGAGAAGCCGACTGCTCCCCTCTGTGACCTTGATAAAAGAAGATAAATTCATGCTGAAGCACAAAGAAGTTAGGAAACTCCAGAAACGCTTAAGCTCAAGCCAAGGTTCACGTGCTTTATTAGCTCTGGATGCAGGGTTTGGTACTTGACCAGTACCAAGTACCATTCCTCTGTGCCGAATGATTTCTTGGATGCCAGAGTGTCCATTTGCCTTTGACTACCTGCATCCATGGCAGCTACACAAACAGCTTACCGGGGAAGGAAATACCGGAGTAGGGTTTTGGCTGATTAACCAGCTGCATAACAAAGAGGAGCAGCCAGTCTCTGGAGGCCTTAATGGACTATAAAATTAAGAAGTTCTGCCGTAAGAAAAGCAGGAGATATCATTTCTACCTGCTGATGAAAAGGAAGGGCTGGGCTTAGGCTTTTAATTTGCCTGTTTGCGTTATTAATACATTCTCTTGCAAGTAATACTGCCAACTGCTCTGCAGAGCTTCTGTACAGACACAAACTTGGCCACCCCTGCAGCCCTCGAGGAAGGTAAATTAGGATTTATCACCCCAATTCTGCAGACAGAACAGACACCCAGAGTGATATTAAAAGCTGTGACCTGCAAACAGCTTTCGCCAGGTGTGACACAGGGAAGCCAGTGAGTGCTCCAGGTAGGCAAGGCAGCCACCAGCGATGGCTGGGGTCTTCAGCCCGCTGGAAGTAACACACAAGTCTACGAAAAGCGGTGGAGCTGCAGCACTGTTCTCGGCAGAGTATGAGGCAGAGGGGAAACATGGTTAGCACAAGGTCACACTATGCTTTCACAGCAGGGCTGGGGCAGC